GTCCAAGTTTATAGATATGGTAATCAGCAAAACCTTTGATTTGAGCACAGGCCATCTCACTGCTACCTGTTATCCTTATCCCATACACCTGGAGCAGTGGATATATCACTGCTGTACCTTCCACTGATCTGTACCTTCTTTGATCTTTTTCCTCCTTTTTCCTCCTAACAAAAATTTTAAAATACTCTACTTGATCCTTTGCGTTCATTGTTAGACTTGGGTTACTTTAGACATTAGCTCTCTTTATGCTGTTCTTACTGTACCATAATGCTCTTTTGTATCCATCCTTAATTCACTGCCTTTGATTCAGTTTTCTGAACATATTCTTTTAAAATCAAAGATGGTAAAAGCTTTGTAATATGATGACCAAGATTGGTCAAGGTTGGGAGGGAGAAGGGGGGGCTAAGATTGTGCAACATTGCACGTGTTGTCAGACTCATTTGATGTGTTGGTTAGTGTTACTGAATTGTTGTTCCCCCCTCCTCCCCTTATTCTTTGTAATAAAGAATGGCTCACTGGTTGGGGAGAGTGGGAAAGGACACTTATTTGGAAATGAATGTATTATAAAAACAAAAGACGGCAATTCAAAATGTAAAAAAAAATTCCAAGCTGGCTGAGTTCCCCATGCATCTGCATTAATCTTGGGCAGTTCCCATTTTTCTTTGTGGCTGCAATAATTTTTTCTTGTATGTTCAGAATTTTGATCTTAAACTTGTCATTCCTATTGGGTCATCTTCCCATGCAGAATATTCATTCATTAGACATTGCAAATTCTTTCGAATCTGCTCTCCCAAATTATAGGGGTCTGTTTCACAATATGCCTAGCCTCTCTTCTTAGCCCAGTAGTCAGCAACTTTTTAAGCAAGAAGAGCTATTGTAGTACTTTTTAAAGAACTATGTTTTTTCATGTTTTTTTAGTTGTTAACATATTCTATACCAACCTTATCTGTACTTATGTATTCATTTTTGTTAGTTTACACAAATAGTAAACCAAATAATTATTATTGTTGCCAGAAGACCCTTGCTATGCTTATAGTTATATATAATAGCCAATAATAGTGATAATAGCTAACATTTCTGGAGCCCTTACTATGTGCCAGGAACTTTGGTAAACATTTTACAATTATCATTTTGTTTGATCCTCACAGCAACCCTGGGAGGTAGGTGCTATTATTATCTACATTTTACAGGTGAGGAAACTGAGGCAAACAGATTAAGTGACTTTTCCGGGGTCAAACAACTAGTAAGTATCTGAGGCCAGATTTGAACTCAGGTCTCTCTGACTTCCCAGCCCAGGGCTTTATCTATTGAGTCACCTAGCTGCCTCTATAGCTAACATAATAACAGCTAGCATTTACTTATGGGAACTGGAGGAAGGTTATGAGGAGAGTTCCTTTAACCTTCTCTGTGGTTTATAACAAAGCTATGTAGTGAGTTTTTCAGATTAGTAGATTGTCACCTGTCACTTTGATAGTCAGGGGAAAGCCTGACCCTTAGGGAAAAGGTAGTAGTAGATTGGGCAGTGAAGAAGGTCGTCTGAACAAGGCCCACAGGCAAAGGTGGGATCCCTGAATGTGGGCTGTAATTCTCTGGCCAGTCAGAGGAAGCATTAGAGCTTTCTGTCCACCTGAAAAATTCCCACTACTGGACGGTAGTTGCTATGCAGCAATACTCCTTTTGTCTAAAAGAGTCACGTGTAGATAATGCCTAAAGAGCTGAGGGCTCCTGGATCCTGTTACAGGGGCTTGTAATGAGTTGGTTATCAACTCCTCTTCTTTCTGGTGAGTTCTTCATCATTTACCATTTCCTAAGTCACGTCCTATCTAGAATGTTCTGTTTTGTACTGAAAGCCAAATTTTAGGAAGATTAAATTGGGGAGAGACTAAGGAGGACATAAAAATTTTGTCATGAAAGGATCATTAAAGAAACTGGGGATGTTTAGCTTGGAGAAGAAAAGCCCAAGGGGGGGCGGTGACAGGGGACGGACTTGGTTGTAGTCCTGTAATAGCTGAAGGTTATGATAAGAGAGAATGGTGTAGAACTGTTCTGCTTGGCCCCTTGTTGGGAGAATTAGCAACAATAAAAAGAAGATGAGGAGCCAGATTGTAGCTCAGTAGACACTAGAATTTCCTATCCAGCAATGAAATGACAGACCGGGGGCAGAGATAGAATTTTTTGGAGGTGATACAGGTGGAGGCTGGATGACCACTTGTAGGGAGTGTTGTTGATGAAATTCACTCCCAAGTGAGTAAGTTGGAGATGATGCCCTCAAAGTTTCAGCATCAACATTCTGTGTTTTAAGCTATCTGTGTTCCAGGTTCTAGAGTTCATTCTAGTTCTGTATTCCATTCTGTGTTCTAAATTGCCTGGCAGGTCTGATATTCTAAGTTCCAAGGTCCCTTCTAGCTCTGATGTTCTTTGTGCTATGTTCTCGGAGCCCTTGTAGGTCTCCAGTAGAATATGATCTCCCTAAGGGACAGTGACTAATTTTAGTTGGCATATCTCCAGTACCTAGCCTGGGGTCAGCCCTTGACAGATGCTTGTTAAAGTGGATTGACAGTGTATGCTCTAAGGGCCCTTCCAGCTCAGCCATCATTTTGTGCTTTAAGGGGGTATCCAGCACCAACGTTCTTTGTTCCTAGCGTCTTTTTTCCTTCCATTCCTCTACATTTTGTTCTTCTTTCCCTGAATCCTCTCTTCCCCTTCCTACCTCCCCCCCCCATCTTCAGTTATTAGCCTTTTCCCCCAGCTGTGGAACAGTGTGCTAGTGTCAAAGAAGGGCTTGAGAGTCAAATCATTTAGGTTCCAATCCTGGTTCTGCCTCTTAGCTGTGTGACATTGGGGAAGTCACCACACCTGGGGCTTTTGTGGTCATTTGTAAATTAATGGGCAGTTGGACTGGATCTCTTGATTGACTTTCCACCTCTTAAAATCCTGTAATCCCTTGAATGCAATCTCACCCGTGTGAGTACACTTCTGTCTCTGTCTCCCTCCCTGCCTGCCCCTCTCCCTCTTTCTCCCCCCCCCCCACTGTGAACTCTTTCTGAGCTTCTACAAGTCCTAATTTTTTTGCATCCCTCGCTGATATCTGAGCATCAGCTTCTTTGCCTTGCTTATTCTGAGTGTGCTGGGCAGGGCCAATGGAGTTCCCAGTCCAGGGCTCTACCTAACAGTGGCTCAAGAAATGTTTGTGCCTGGTAGTGAGCTCTCACCACCATATTCTTCCTCCTCTCTACACCACTGCCACC